ATTGTATTTTTTCTACAACTCCTTAACAATAAAGTAGAGTAGTTCCACTAAAAGCTTCAAATGAAATCATGAGATAAATGAGAAGATTACAGACAGTTGATTTTCTTCATAGCTATTCGGGAAGTAGGAAAAAGCAAGTCAATTTTCTTTCAAAATAAGAGATATTTGTTAAACGTAACAACGACACCCCAGGGGACTACTACTTTCATGATATGTTATATTTATTCTGCATTTAGTTTAGTTTTTTTATGTCATTTGCATGGTATATTTGACAGTTATGTATACATTACTGTATTTTAAATGGTAGAAAAACCTGTTTTTGACCTCAAAATAAAGCTTGACTGGGGACGAGCACTTCTGTGGTGAAAGTAATTCTTTATAATTCATTAAAAAAACAAATATTGCCACATTGATGGCTCAAGAAGATGTAATTGTTCAAATAACAGTGTTTCAATTTAAAATAAATTGTTTATTTTAAAGTGTTTTTAGAGCATAATATTTAGAGCCAGACTGATATATCGGTCGATATTAGGCATTTTCAAAACCATCGGAATCGGCAGTTATAATGGCCGATAAATGAATATTTCAAAAATAAAAACGCACGCAACACGCTTGAACCATGTCATGAGTGTTGGAGTTGTATAGTTTGTCCACCAGAGGGCACTCTACACCGTCCCTGTTGGCAACACTCGTTGAGTTGGTCACGAGACATACATTGCTTGAATAACAATTAAAACAACATCCCCATCAGTTCTCTTAAATCAATTAAGCATGACAGAATTTGTGTCTTATGTCCAGTTTTGCTGCTGTTAAATAAGCCGAGTGAAGCTAAATTAGTTATAATAATTAGTTATAATAATATTAATGTTTAGTTGCGCGTTTTCGGAAAAACAAAATAATAAAAAATATCGGCCGATATACCGGCATATCAGATTTTAAAACCAAAAAATATTTGTATCGGTCGGGCTCTAGTAATATTTCTGTAAAGGGTAGGGACAGAAAAATCGACATTCCCATAGAATGAGCCTCCTACTTCATCTAAATTTTTATTTTTAACACCACCATGTCTTGTTAGGGGTTGTGCAAATTCAAAATTTAATGTAATAAATCTAAACACAAATAAATGCATTTTTGTTCCCATAACCAGGCTCCTCCACCTTATGACCAATGATTGATTAATGATGTGCTTACAGTGCGTAATAGTAGACCAACACAGCAGATGTTTGGCAGAAAGTTTTCTGCATGACAAATCATAACATGAACTTTATTACATTAGTGAACACAGCAGTCATTTGGAAAAATCAAACTTCCAAGAACTTTAATGAGTGTCAAAAAAACATATATGGCACAAATGAACCGCCAATACGGGTTTTCCAAACATAAAACGAAAGGTCGACTTGACAAATAAACAGATTTACAACTCTGCGGTTCCCAAACGAAAACGTCATCCACTTAATAGTCCACACACTTGAAGAATTTAGAGTCCAAAACATAATTCTGCGGAGAAGTGATTTATCCGACCCTCAGCGGCGGCGCCACCAACACGACTCCATCGCCTCGGACAAACAGCATGGGGATGTTCCGCTTCGTTGACTGAAAACAGACGGGTTACGCATGTCAACACAACGATAGATGGCTTTAATTCAATTCAACTCATGTCATTATTCATATTGCCTAATCAGGCAATGACTTTATAGGCAGCTATTGGAAATGAAGGCTCGAAACCTCACAGAACAGACAGACAGAGAATCAAGTGGAAACAGAGCTTCACTTTTTGGCATCCTTCCTCAAATATAAAGCCCAGAAAGCTCAAACCTGGCCATCAGGTGTGTGAGGTCCTGTCGGCAGGACAGAGCTACCGAGACTAGGGCTGTCACTTTTTATTCGATATTCTAATATGCATTCGAACATGACGTGAAATATCAGTATTCATACAGATTTTTATTTTATTTTTTATTTTATTGTTTGCCATGGGGGTCGCACACAGGACGAGAAGCTCAGCGTGTCCCAATCCTACGTCAGGATTGGCATTAATATTTTCCTAGTTGCTGCTGTTACATTGATTGATATTTGCTGTACTTTCTATTTCACCAATATAAGGTTTATTATAATTTTCTTGTGCATACTGATGCAACAGACTGAAGCAAAACCCTTTAGGATTCTTCACTGTCATTCAGTTTAATATCTAAAGAGAACATGAACATGGAGGACATCAGCAGCAGTTACCTTATAAATCTCCTCGTATGTCTCCTCATCGATCTCCACGGTCGTCACGGTCTCTTCAACATCGCCGAGGATCATGTTTAAGTGCTGGTCATACGCCTAATGTAAAATAAATAAATAATAATAACAATATAAAAATATATATGTATATGTGTGTGTATGTCTCTGTGTGTATTTTGTGTGTGTTTGTATTAGGGATGAGTCACAATTTTCTAATATTTGATTAGTGGATTTTATTGTAAAAAAAAAAATAAAAAAATAGGCTGTGCGATTATTGTCTAAAAAAAATCCCTGTTTTCAGTGCTAATGCAATCATTTAACCAGAGAGCGACGGCAATAACTGACTCGCAATCTTCGCACTTGCAGTAGTGAATGCGCTTATAGAGAGAAATGCACAGTTCATACGGATTACATAGTAGTCAGTTTCTTTTCGTTTTGAATTGATTTGTATTAAAGTTCTATAATATATATTTCTAATCAGTCTCTAATCATATTGGGGTGGAGATGGCGCAGTGGATAAGACATGCCTTTGGTGTGAGAGACCTGGGTTTGAATCCACTGAGCATCAAATCTTCATATTAGAATGATTTCTGAAGGATCATGTGACACTGAAGACAAATTTCAGCTTTGATCACAGGAATAAATTACAATTTAAAATATATTAAAATAGAAAACTTTGTCCATAATAAGATGTCATTTAACAATATTAGGCTACTGTTTTCTTGTAATCAAATAAATGCAGCCTTGGTGGGCATAAGAGACTTATTTTTAAAACAACATTAAAAAAATCGTACCAATCCCAAACACTTTTGAATCACACACGAATAGATTTTTATTATATCATAATGCATGTAGTTTGTTGTCCAGATCCTGTTGAGTATAAACTTTGAGCAGGTGGTGTTTAATAACGTCACTGGCAAGACAAAGTTAAAACGGTTTGGTTTCGTTTCTCAATGTGTGGTTTGTACAATGCAGTACTACACCGACACCGTATTAAAAACGTATGTGCGGCATGAATGAATGCAGCGTGTGCGCGTGCGTTTGTGTGTGTGTTCTCACGTGCAGTCTGCCGCGCAGCTCTCTGTCGTTCCTCATCTTCACATAGATTCTCTCGTCCAGACTCAACCGGATCAGATCCAGAGGCTCTTCAACAGTGTTGGTGGTTTGTTGCTGCAAATTTCAGCATATATTATTGTAATGGATTACCATATGAGCAACCGCCTGAGACCTGCTGAATATAAAATGCCTCGCCATTCTCGTGTGTTCAGAGAGACATGCATTAAAACTGGTCAGATATGTTTCAGCTCCGCCATTATCAGAAAAAATACTCTCGTTAACGCAACAAAATAGCATACCTGCTCAGCTTCGTCCGCCATCTTTCAAATTTACCCAAAATGCTTTTCGTTTGTCTCCCAAAATGCATGCGTTTCCTGTTAAACCAATGTGTTCCTCCAGAGGGCGCATAAAATTGAATGAATCATCTTTGACCAGGACGGTTTTGTCTTATATAATTGTGCACTAAAAGAGTAATATTTGATGTTTATAGCCTATATTCTCAGGACGTTGTAGCCTACCTGACATATAATTGCAAACCTGATAAATTAGGTTTTGAAAACATTATTATCCACCCACAAGCAGTGGCCTATCACAGATGTCTTTGATTGGTCCATTCTAGCCAGCGGTGAGAAAAGTAACATTGATAACGCTGAATCTTCAGCACTGATTTTGGTTCTTCTTAAAGTTTCCCAAATATTTTGAGAACACTGTTTGTCGTTTTCACATCTAAATAATTGTAAATGCCCTTGTAACATTAGCAGTGTACTTATGTCATACTAATTTTATGAGCTGGTGAAATGACCATTAGGTTATAAACGTATAGGCTACCTAATGTTATGATCTGAAACAAAGATCCAATAGAACATATATTGCCATCTAGCATAATACCACTCTTACTGTTGATTTAAAGAAAATCGTGAGAATTGTGCATTAGGTTAAATAGAAAAATCGGTTTGTTCGCACGCTCACATGGAGACTTTGTGGTTAATGGCTTGTAACAAGCTAGACCAGTCGCACACTTTACCATCTCTAAACACCTTAGCCGACCTCAAGGTAAACTCCTATATAGAGGTGTTAGCCACAGGTTAGCCAAAGGCAAAGCTGTGCAAATGTAGCTTCACCAGACCAAACTGTGATAAAGTTATTTGTTTCAAGGTTGTAACTTAAGTCGGCGTCTGACTATTTTTTTTAAGGATTTTGACATATTTTACATATTTTTTGGCTTTAATATGTGATTTGAATTCAAGGTAATAGCTTAAGCCTTTCAGCTGAAATGTCGGTGATGTGTTAGCGCCTTCTGATTTGAAGCAAACAAACCGAGAGAAAAAAGGACAAAGAATGCTGACCTTATAGAATAATACTTTTTATGGAATTGTTTAAGAATTGAATAGGCCTACATTTATGTTGCTAGAATTATATCTAATTTTTAATTCAATACAAAAAAATGAGTGTATGTCACTGGAAATAACCTATAATGTAGTCTAACTATGCTATTACGCAATTACTTTCCTGGAACAGCAGTCAGCAAGTTTACAAATTGTGGCCAAAATCTGTCCCTAAAAAAAGAAAAATGGGTTATCTGAAATAAACAGATAGTTTTTGAGTTCTAACCCAGCTATATGTCTAAAATCATATATATATATATATATATATATATATATATATATATATATATATATATTTATCAAACAGAAATCAAATACATTAATGCACAACAGCAGTCAAGGATGTAATTCTTCATTCTGCAAGCTCAAGAAAATATTTTTAAAATATACATACAATGTAAATGTGATTTTATTAAATACAATGTGGTCAGTGGTTAGGTATTCTTGCTTTCGGCAGCTCTAGAAGTGCATAGGTGCTGTTGACTTGGCTGGACGGAAACCTTTGACATGGTGCGGAAAAGTCCACCCCAGCGTACTGAAATAAACAACAGGAAACCAATAGCATGTAAGCAGAATGCAAACATATTTATGTTGTCTTTAAATTCAAAACATTCTGAAACATTATCTGTGGAACACAAAATATTCTTTTATTTAAAAAAATATGTTTTTTTCATGAAAATCAATGGGGTCCAATGTTGCCCCATGCATTGCCTTTCATTTTATGACCAAAACCAGTTGAAAACATTCTTCCTAATCTCTTATTTTGTGTTCAGCAGAAGAAGCATACACATACAGGTTTGAAATGGCATATTGTTATGTTAATATTGTTATATTAATTATGGTTTCACTTGGTTTACCTGCACTTCGCCTTGGTCTTGAGGTGGTCCAAGATCCATAACTTGAGGCTGTTGTGGGTTTGTATTTTGAAAATGTTTGTCTCTGGTTCTTTTCCTTCCAAAAACAAACACCTTTAATAGTCCTTTAAAACGACAGTGAATTCAGATGTAAGTCTTCCAATTTCTTACAGAAGGAGCGACACGTGTAATTCTATCAAAGAGCTCACCTATGATGACAATGATCAGAAAACTAATCAACAGAGCACATATGATGATAATAATGTGCCATTGTTTTTGATTCTGCTCAATGCACTTTATCATCGTATGATTCTGGATCTCTGCAGTCGGCTCTGTGATATATAATATATTCAGCACTGTGAAGCCATTAACAGGTTTAACATTTTGTTGTTTTTGTAAGTTTGTTTATTTAAAGTGTCTAAAAATGATATAGTGTGATCACTGAATGTTCACTCACCGCTGATGTGTATTCTGGTGCCGTCGCTGTATTTTGGAGGAACGTCTCTGGTCACACAGTAATAAAGTCCTAAATCATCAATAGTGACATTATTTATGAATAGATGAGGGTTTCTTTGCACTGAATATTTTTGTCTAAATCTATTATTGTAGTAATGAGGAGTTGTAGATGAGAAAGTGCGTAATATCAGAACCGGAGAATCTGGGAGTTTCAGAAATAACCAGTTAACCTCCTTTCCATCAAAATCACAGTTTATTGACACATTTTGACCCAAATCTGTTAGTTGATCAGTTAAAGTCTCCGCAGCTTTACACCATATGAACAGATCTGCGAAATAGAAACCACACACACACTTTAATGTGATTGTACCATTAAAATATCAGTCAATGTATCATTTTGCAAAGAACAATAAAATATAAAGTACAAAAAACTCACAGAGGTGAATCTGCACAATCTTCAGGGTGTTAAAACACTTCAACATGATTAGCAGTCGTGGTTCTTTTACGAAATGAAACTTTACCCCAGAACTTTTATGAGCGGAATTTCAACCACATGTGGAGGAAGTTGAAGTCTGCACTGACCACGATTTGTAGTCATCTATTCTGTTTGTGCATGATTCAGTTTTTAAACTACAAACAAAGCACAGTATATTACTACATTATGGTTCAAAATTGTTCATTCTTTTGGAATTGTGAAATAACAATGAACAATATTTTTCCATCTAATCTTATTTCTACATATAATAATACATTTGGAAGATTTACAACTTTTACAAAATTAACATTAGTCATTAACAAACATGAATTAACAATCAAAAATAAGAAACATTAGCATTATATCGTTCGATTTATTCTTAGCACACGCTGCAGTTTTGTTGTCTGTTAAATGCTCAAGCTCTTTAAAGTCTGCTGGTTTCTGTTTAGCCGTCAATGTTTTCATCGTTCACCAGCTGAGAAAAAAAAAAAAAAGTTTTCTGAAAGCAATTGCAACGACATTGTTCCTTTGTGTAATTTTCGTTATAGTTGTGGTGTGGACTCTGTATTTTTAAACAATATCTTTATCGTTATAGTTCACGTCCTTCGTGTGAACAGGCCTTAATGCATTGATCTGGTCTAACAGGGTCACAGAACGCAGAGGACAAATACTGTATGTGAAAAACAACATGCAACCAACCATAATCATGTTTTGATGGGAAAATAGACTTCAACCTATGAAGCTTCTCATTTCCATTGTTGTTGAGCATCCAATCAAACTATTTTGGTGCAATTTCACCTGTCACTTTTGACAACTTTTGTCAAATTGGACAAACAAAACACGTTGTGTGATATGCCATCATACATAATTAACAAAACTTCACAAGTGAAAAGAAAATACAACTCTACACAACACTGACTTGAAATAAGGACAAACATGGTTTGCACTGACCACAATGAGCTGACGTATCGGCTGCAGAACTCAAAGTGCACAACAAGCATACCATAGTTAACCACTTTAAACTTTGTAACATTTCATGCAATGCAAGTTGATGCCTTTATAGTGTTAGACAGAAACATTTTACTTTTTAGTTATAGATTGTCAACGTGTGAATTTATCTCTAAACATCTCTTGCAAGCCTGTGGTGCACTTTGTGCTCTCTGCAGCCGATACATCAGCTCATTGTGGTCAGTGCAAACCATGTTTGTTATTCACATTCAGTTTTTGTCTTCTGTGTTCTGTGACCCTGTTAGACCAGATCAACAGAGGAGACCCATGAGCTACAATTAAATCTCAGATGTTTATACCTAGTTTCTTCAACAAGAGTGTACCAATTATGGTTTGAAAAATGAAAGTATGCATTAAGGAAAAATGCATTAGTATGTTAAAGTTAAAGATATTGGACGAGGAGTGAGGAAATGAGGAAGCATCAATTTGCGTGTTGAGAGTATAGCACCCTGTGTGTCCAGTTTGCAGTGTGTGTGTTCACTACTCACTACTCCTAATATGTGTGTGAGCACTAACTTGGATGGGTTAAATGCAGAGGACAAATACCCTACAAATACATACCCTGAGGGTCATGCGCCCTCTACTGTGCTGTTAAGGCTATTCTATAAGGAGATGAGAATATCTAAGGTGAAATATCCCACTTCAATTAATCACGCCATAAAATGGCGTACGACTTAAGAAGAACACTTTCTGTTCTGCCCATTATGGCAAAATCATACATTCAAGCAACATTCAGACTGTCCCAAAATCAGTGTATTAAAATAATATTATTCTATCTTAGATTTGGGGCTTTGTATGGCAATGGTGCTATATAGCACCTCAACCACTTTAAAGAACCGCTGAAGAACCAACATTTGTTTGTATGTAGAAGGCAAGGTGTCTGTCCAGCAGGCATCTAGAAAGAACATGAAAAAAATATGTCTCTAATATGTTTAGGCATATTCACTGCTACAGCAAAAGTATCTCCTTTTTGACTCAGATGTGTCTGAGTCGCTGATCTCAAAGTAACATATGTTTATGTTATGCAGTAACATTCACATTGAGTATACAACAAGTAACATTAAATAAAATTTAATTTGTTCACAGATTATTTCATCCATGTTACGTCCCCAGAGAACTGGGTACGTATTTTAGTGATTTTCATTTCTGGCATTGCTTGTGGTTCTTGTGTTTTTTTCTTCTTACAGGTAAGATGGCTTCAATAACCATTCCAGCAGCTGATTGGTGGATCAACGGCAGATTGGATCTTGGAACTCCTCCTACTCGTCAGTGGCTGCAGCTGGCTGGGCTCTTTAAAAAGCCTAGTTTTGGATCTGTTCACTCTCTGCTCTGGGCTTTGCACTCGGTTCTGGGCTTTGCACTCGGTTCCTGCTGTTGATGTGGTTGGTATCCCTTTTTGGGAAACATTGTGAGTTGTAGATAACTTTTTTTTGTTGTCTATTTTGAGAGTAGGATTGGAACATTTGATAATACTTTTGATAATGTTGTAATCTGATTTGTTCGCTAGTAACACTAGCTTTGTGTTCCACTTTTGGAACTTGAGCAGCAGGACTGAGTTTGTTCTTTGTGAATTATTATTATTATTATTTGTGTTAACTTCTCTTTTCTTGTTCTTTGTTTTATAGGGAGTTGGGGGAGTAGATTTAGAGCTACCCCGGGGTATACATCACCCGTAGGCATACTTCTCTGTCTATAAACACCAGTTAGACCTGGGCGGACCACCATCTGTAATTTTGGTTAGGGCGCCTTGATCGTGTGCCAGATAGGTGATGTGTATAATTAGTGTAGGTTAAGGGTGGGGTATTTTTGTTTATTTCTTTTCTTTGGTTCGTCCAGCTCTCCCCTTTCTCCCTTAAATTTGTTTATCATTTACATTATTACCGTGACAAAAATAAAAACGCAGTTTGTACGGTATTTGGAATTTGTCTCCTTTTCTCGCACCACGACTCCATTCCTCTTTTGCTGGCATTTGTGGGTCTGAGCAGGGGGTTATCAGGTTCCCCTCCCTTTTTGGGGGCTGGAACGTAACAAATGGGGGCTCGTCCGGGATCTTGGTGCCCCCATGCTCGGACCACTTGATGCTAGGTGATTGAGATGTGGTGTTGAGGTGTGAAAAAGGCTTCGTAGTTTTGTTTGGTATAATAGTGGATGTTTTCTGTCCTAGAGTTGGTTGGTATTTATAGTTGTCTGAGTAGTTTTAGAGTGTACTGAATAGTGCATTGGAGTTGGGGTGAGTATGGCGGCTACTTCAGAGGTGGCAGGCTTTATTGCAGAGCCCTCATTGGGGTCATTGTGTAATCTGCGTAAGGTAGATCTATTTTCATTAGCAGACTACTATAATCTAACCGTTGATAGGCAGGCTCGTAAAGCGAATCTAGTAGCAGTGATTAAAGGCCATTTATTGAGTCTGTCAAGGGCAGGAGTTATGGCTGTTGAGGATGTGGAGATAGAAGATGAAGGGGAGGACGAGGAGGACGTAGGGAATCTCTCGCCTGCACGGCCGAAGGGTGGTGTGGGGGGTGGGGATGCTCCGGTACCTCGAAATCTGCCAAAGTATGATCCATTTTCTCCAGTGGTTCCTGAGTCTGTAGAGGTCGCTCGGCTAAAGCTGAAAGCAGCCCGTCAAGAAGCAGACCAAAAAGACAGGGAAGACAAAAGGAGGTATGAGATAGAAATGAGAAAAATAGAGGCAGACAAGGGAGCTCGAATTCACATTCGGCGAATGGAACTTGAGGCTGGGGTGTCTCCTCACTCAGTTGGCAAGCCAGGTCATTTTGATGTAGGCAGGAACATTGCAGTTGTTCCCCCCTTCCGTGAGTCTGAGGTAGACTCATATTTTTCTGCTTTTGAACGAGTAGCTGCTGCTTTACAGTGGCCAAAAGAGGTCTGGCCTCTACTTCTTCAATGTAAGCTAACTGGGAAGGCCCAGGAGGTTGTAGCCTCTCTCTCCATAGAGGATAGTTTGCATTATGATGTGGTCAAAGCTACTGTACTGCGTGCCTATGAGCTGGTGCCAGAGGCTTATAGGCAACGATTTAGAAACTATAAGAAAAGTGGTCGTAAAACATTTGTTGAGTTTGCCAGGGACAAAGAGTCCTTGTTTGACCGCTGGTGTGCAGCCAATAAAACATCTACTTATGAGGCTTTGAGAAATCAGATCTTGTTGGAAGATTTTAAGAACAACCTACCTGAAAGAATAGTGATGCATTTGAGTGAAAACAAGGTGGTGAAGTTGAGCCAGGCAGCGGTAATGGCCGATGAATATGCCTTAACACATAAAACGGTGTTCACAGCATCCAGTCAGAGTAGGACGTTCGTTTCATCAGCAGTCGGTGCATCACGCTCTTTAGATCCTTCTACTGTTCCTAGGAAAGAAGAGAGGGAATGTTTTTATTGCCACCGGAAAGGCCATTTAATCTCAGATTGTTCCTTACTGAAGAACAAGTCTAAGTCACCTCCATCTTCCCGTAAGAGTGTTGGTTTAACTCAGACTGTTTCTTTTCAGGA